CGGCGGCCTGGACCTCTCCGGCGGGTCCTGAGGCGACGGCCGGGGGGTCTGGCGCCGGTCGGGTTTGGTGGCTGATGGGATGCAGTGTGTGAACACGCACACGCACATGTACACGCACGCACACACGCACACACACACGCACATGACACGCACGCACAGCACACGCACACACACACGCACATGTACACGCACGCACACACACACACACACACACACACACACGCAACACACACATACACACCACATAAATATGTATATCGAACAACATGTATGTATACACACATAAGCCCATGTATTTATCTATATTTCATGTAAAAAAAACACCTACAACCTACCCTATTAACCCTCCCCCTCCCCCTTCCCCCTCCTCCCCCCCCAGGCCCCTACGGCGAACCCCTGAGCGAAGCCCTCAACTACTTGACGAAGAAGCTGATCATGACATTCGAAGTCGTCCTCGGGGGTATGCTCTTCTTCCTCGGGGCTTCTGCGGGCGCGGTGCTGGCCAAGGTGCTCCTCGAGGACGTGGTCGAGAGGGAGGTGCTGTCCCAGGCCTTCGGGGGATACGGGGTCATGGAACTCGTCATGAAGTCCGTCGATATGTACGAGCAGTTCACGTGAGGTTGAGGGGGGGTGGGGGGTGGAAGGGGGGGGGGTGGGGGTTGAGGGGGGGGGGGAAGGGTGGGGGTGGAAGGGGAGTGGGATGGTGGAGAGGGGGAGTGGAGTGGGGGATGGTGGTGAAGGGGAAGTGGGAATGGATGTGAAGGGGAATGGGGGATGGGGTGAAAGGGGAGTTGGAATGAAGGTGAAAAGGGGAGTAGGGGTGGGTGGGGGATGGAGGTGAAAGAGGAGTGGGGGCAGGGATGGAAGGGGAGTGGGGAGAGTAGTGGGGGTAGGGTAGTGGAATGGAGGATGGGGTTAGAAGGTGGGACTTGGTGGGGGTGAAAGGGGAGTGGGATGAGTGTGTGTGTGGGGGGGGGGGAGTGTTGGCGGTGGAAAGTTAGCGAAAGGGGATAGGAGAGAGGGAGAAGGTGATGGTGGAGGGAGGTTGGAGGGGGTTGGTGGTGGAAAGAGATGGGGGGGGTGGAGAGGGGGATGAATGAAGTGGTGGGGAAAGGTGGAGCATTTGCGGGAGGGACGTGAGAGAGGGATGAGTGGGGAGGGAGACTGGTGGAGAAGAAGGGGGGTGAGAGGGGCTTGGTGATGGCGTGAGGGAGAGAAAAGGTTGGGGAGGAAGAACGGAATGAGAGGGACACTGATAAGAAGGAGGGGAGGGGGGAGGACGGTGGAGGGAATGAGGAGTAAGGAAGGAGAAGGAAGTGGATAGGAAAGTGGAGGAAGAAGATAGAGAAGTGGAGAAAGTAGATGGGAAAGCGGTGGTGCTCTGCTCCATGGACGGGGTTTCCTGTGATTGTTTTTTTTTTTCTCTATTTATTTAACCAATTTTGCATAGTTGTTATTAGCCTTCCCTTTGGACAGAGGGAATGAGAGAGAATATGTTATGGTGTTCCAATAATTACTGTGCAAGTAAATTTAAGGCAAATAAAGTATTTAAAAGTTATTCGCTTTTATTCTCCAAGATGATATATAAACCGCGCGCGCGTGTATCCATCTATCTATATCTATCTATATATATAATATATATTATATACACATTCATGTATATGTATACTTATGAATATTTACACACACACACACACTATTAAGCGACCGCAGTACTTCTCAAAGCACGCCATCTATTGAACATCCGCTACATTTTTTATTGTACATCTACTAAGACTGCAACACCATGGTGCGCCATCCATTGAGTGGCCGCAAAACTTCACGGTATGTCTATTGAGTAGTTGCAGCACTCTTCGCAGTACGCCATCTACTGAACGACTGCAACCCTTTTCACAGTGCGCCATCTATTGAGTGACCGCAGCACTCCTTACAGTGTGCCATCTATTTAGCCATAGCAGTACTCTTCACGACCACTACATTCTTTATCGTACGCCATCTACTGAGCGACCGCAACACACCACCGTACGTCTAATGACTCACCACAGCGCTCCTCACAGTACGACATTTATTGACTGACACAACCATTTTCACAGTACACCATCCATTGAGTGACCACTTCACAATATACTATCTACTGAGGGACCGCAACACACTTCACAGTACGTCTATTGAGCGACTGCCACACTTTATAGTACGTCATCTATTGACAACTACAGCACTCTTCACAGTACACCATCTATTGAACGATTGCAACACTATAATACGCCATCTATTGACAATCACAGCATTCTTTACAGTACGCCATCTATTGAGGAATTGCAACACTTTACAGTATACCATCTACTGAACGACCTCAACATTCTTAATTTTACTCCATCTATTGAGTGACCTCAACGCTGCACAGTATGCCATCTCCTGAGAGACCGCAACACACTTCACAGTATGTCTCATCTATTGACGATCGTAGTACTCTTTACGGTATGCCATCTATTGACGCCCACAGAACTCTTTACAGCACGCCATCTATTGACGATCGTAGTACTCTTTACGGTACGCCGTCTATTGACGACCACAGAACTATTTACAGCACGCCATCTATTGACGACCGCAGCATTCTTTACAGCACGCCATCTATTGACGACGCGGAGCATCATCTATTAACGATCGCACGCGCATCTGACGGCACGGACTCTTTACGGTACGCCATCTTTTGACTCTTTACGATTATTAACGATCGTAGTACTCTTTACAGTACGCCATCTTTTGAAGATCACAGCACTCTTTACAGCACGCCATCTATTGACGACCGCAGCACTCTTTACGGTACGCCATCTATTGACAACCGCAGAACTTTTTACGATACGCCATCTATTAACGATCGTAGTACTCTTTACAGTACGCCATCTATTGACGACCATAGCACTGTTTACAGTACTCCATCTATTGAGCGACCGAAGCACTATAGTACACCATCTATTGTGTGACTGCAACATTCTACGGATTCAAATGAGTGAACTCAACACTTCATAGTATGCTATCTACTGAGCGACCGCTGGCAAGGCTGGAATTCTACGGAAATTCGTCAGTACGCTATCTGTTGCCGACCGCTGTAGTCTTTACAGTGCGCCATCTATTGACGACCGCAGCATTTTTTTTTTTTTTACAGGACGCCATCTATTGACGATTCCAGCACTTTTTACGGGACGCCATCTATTGGCGACTGCAGCACTATTTACAGTATGTCATCTATTGGCGACCGCAGCACTTTTTACAGGACGCCATCTATGCTTAATAATGTATCTATTGTATTTTGTTTTATGCAGTGCAATGAACAAGATAGTAACACAGGGAATCCTATAATCATCGGACTCTGACCCTACCCACTTGCTATCAAATTTCGAGTACGATCAGCAGTGAGACAGTGAAAATTCGGACAACTCTTTCAGGCCCCTTAAAAGAGGGAAAAATACTAGACGAAATTATTAATGAAATACTTTTACTATTATGCTATTATCGTTTATCTTATCAATCAAATCATTAACTGTAACTTAATGTTCGTCCGTTTATGATAGTGTATGGTTAAATTTGATTATTTACATCCGTTTTCTTTTATCAGCCAATGCTTAGAAAACGGAAGAAATGTGTCCACGGAAAGGAATCATCCTTGCTCCAGCTGTTCTGTGAATTATAGCGCTAATTCCGACGTCCCGCTGTGTTTGAGTGCAGAAGACTTATATTTTACGACAGCATCCATGACCAATATTTTCTTTATAAGAGTAAATGTCAGTGTTTTTCCTCTGGTTTGCAGCTTAAAAGGAGACAACTTCGCTCAAGAATCCTATCGGCATTGGTAAGTAAAACAAGGGATATTCTGTACCTTAACATTTAACAGCATTTACATACACCTGAGATTCTGTGTGTGATGATAAACTTACATAATTTTACAATAAATTAACAAAAAAAATGCAAAAGATACTACGGTTTACCACTATTAACGCAAATCATGCGAATACGACACTAGGGCCATGACTTCGACTTTGATTGGAATGTATAATCAGTGATTGCCTGATTTTTTTTCGATAAACTATTTTAAGAAAAACTAATACAAATTTAAGAAAAAAACTAATACAAAATAAGTTACATAATAAGATACAAAATTTAAGTGCACACGTTATGCAGACATATCATTCCGAAGTCAAGGCTCCATCATCGCATTCGTATGGTTTGCGTTAATAGTGGTAAACCATAGTAGGAACCTAATTGAGTCAATTAGGTTCCTTTCTCTCTCTTTTCCCATTCGCCCGAGAGAGGGAGAAGGGTGGAGGGAGAGAGGGAGAAGGGGGAGGGAGAGAGAGAAGGGGGGAGGAAGGAAGGGAGAGAGGGAGGGAGGGAAGGAGAGAGAGAGGGGGAAGGGAAGGAGAGAGAAGGGCGGAGGGAGGAGAGAGATAGAGAAGGGGGATGGAGAGGGAGGGAAGGAGGGAGAAGGAAAGAAGAAGAGGAGAAAAGGAGGGTGAGAGAGAAGAAAAAGAACATTCCCTACTCCCTACCCCCCCCGCCTTCCTCCCTCCCCACGGCCCACACCTGCCACGCATCCCTTTTTTCTCATTCCATCATCCTCCTTCACCTTAACCTCCGAAGCAAGTCTTGGCCACATTCGGCGCCAGGCAGAGGGCAGAGGCGGTGATGGTGGTGGAGTCCAAAACGGAGGTCGACGTCACCGTGATGGAAGTGTACTCAGTCGACCAGATAGTCAGGAGCACCCTGCCGTCCCTGTCGGCTTGTTCGACGTCGTCCGCAGATCGCTCGAAACGGACCTCGAGGTCGTCCGTCTGCTTCGTGCTGTCCAGCCCGGAGTCGTTCATCTGCTCGAGATCCCTGTGGGGGGGAGGAGAGGGCGGTGAGAGGGGTTCAGAGGGAGAGTCGCGTCGGGAGCTTGATTTTGGCTTTTTTGGGGGTTAAGGTAGAAGGAAAAGAGAAGAGAGAGAGAGAGAGAGAGAGAG